ACACTGGGGGGACACTGGGAGGGCACTGGGGGGACACTGGGAGGACACTGGGAGGACACTGGTGGGGCACTGGGGACACTGGGAGGACACTGGGAGGGCACTGGTGGGGCACTGGGGACACTGGGAGGGCACTGGTGGGACACTGGGAGCACTTGGGAGGGAGAACACTGGGAATACTGAGGGACACGGGAGCAGGAGGCCATTGGGAGGATGCTGAGGAATTGGGGATACAGTGGCAGCACTCTGGGGCGATACTGACAGTGCTGGGGTTGGACACTGARGACACGGGGACAGAACAGGAACCCCCCAAAATGACAACCCCATCCTGGGGCAGTTGAGGACCCCGATGAGCAGGGGAGACCCCGGTAGGAAATTCTGGGGTGTCCCAATGCCGCTGGTTCCGTGTTCCCCGAGGCACGACGTGGCAGAGGTGGCCGGGCTGACATCCTTCTCCTTCGGGGACGACGAGGACAGTCGCTACGTGATGGTGTTCAAAAAGGTGGGCCATGGCAGCAGACACCCCGTGGGGATCCGTGGGAGGYGAGGGGACACAGAGTGACACCCGTGTCCCCAGGAGTTCGCGCCCTCGGACGAGGAGCTGGACGCGTATCGGCGCGGGGAGGAGTGGGACCCTGTCCGGGCYGAGGAACGGCGTCGCCTCCGGGTAGGCGGGGTTTAATTGAGATATGGGTGGGGCTTGTCAGGGTGTGGCCAGATGGGTGGAGCTTAGCGGGGTGGGGCACGGGGCTGAGTGGGTAGTGTGGAGTATGGCAGGGCTCGTTGGTGACACCCCACCCCCAGGAGCTGGCGGCACAGCAGGAGGAGGCAGAGCTGGAGCGTGGCCCAACCCCCCCGGGCCCCCCCAACGACTACAAAGACAAATATCGGCACCTGATCGGCTCCGACGCTGCCAAAGCCGCCGCCCGCACCATGGAGGCCAACAAAGCGTACGGCTGTGGTAAGCACCAGGTCCCCAGGGCTCTCTGGTGGCCCAGGAAATTCCTGCAGGTCCAGGAGGYTTTGGGGTATCCTGGACACCCCTTCCTGGGTGGGATTTGGGCACCCAAACCTGTGGAGGGCTGGGAGCCCCTGATGGGGGTCACAACCACCCGGATTATCACCTCTGACCCCCCTTTGTGTCCCCTCAGTGCCGGTGGCCAACAAGAGGGACACGCGTTCCATCGAGGAGGCCATGAACGAGATCCGGGCCAAGAAGCGGCTGCGGCAGGCGGAGGATGAGGGCGGGGCCGGGGGGGGCCCCGGGGGTCCCTCGGTGTGATGATGGGAGGGGGTGGTGGGGGTACGCTCCCCGGGGGTATTTAAAACACAGGGATGGTGATGGGGACGCGCGGCGGGGGTGATAAACGCCTCATCTCCTCTCTCTTGGTCCCCGTGTGTGTGTTTGGGGTGGGATTTGTGGTGGGGGGCACTCCCCTATCCCGGGTCGTTCGTGTGTTTGTGTCCCACCCCCCAAATGATGCACGAGTTGGGAGCTCCTGACACTTCCCAGAGTTTATTCGGGGTGGGTTTATTGGGAACCCCTGGGGAGGTGGAGTTGGGGTCGGCCCCGCTGCCTCTCCCCCTCCTCCTTTGGGGGTTTGGGGA